CCCATATGAGGATGGGTTCTCTGTTGAGTCTGGTTCCTCACAAGGTTTCTTCCTATCACCATCTCAGGGAGTTTTTCCTTGCCACCGTCGCCCTGCTTGCTCATCAGAGACGTCACACACTCTCATTTCACTTACTTTTGTTTGTGTAAAGCTGCTTTGAGACAATGACCTTTGTAAAAAAGCGCTATACAAATAAAAAATGAATTGAATTGAATTGAATGATAGGGAGCTACCATGTTTGCCATTTTAGATACATTGAGTAGCTACTGGCAAATCAAAATGAAGGAAAATGAAAAGGGACAAAACAGTGTTTACAACTGGTCACCTACTGGTTAGTACATTTCATGGTTATGTCACTGTGTCTTTGAAACCCTCCACCCACGTTTCAGTACTTGATGGAATTCGTACTACAAGTTTGATTGGTATTCTGCAGTGCCAGAGAGAGAGAGAGAGAGAGAATGTAACCTTTCACACATTTAAGATGTGGTTTAAGATACCAGATCAGTTTGGGTTGTGAGAAAAAGTTCGCCAACTCTGAAGGCGTACAGGGAAGAGTATAAAAGCTCAATATTTACAATGGCAAAATGTACCCATCTTTAAGAAAAGGATGGCAGACCCCAGTGTCTTGTCATATCGGGCAAGAAAAAAAAAAACACTTTCCTGGGCCCCTGAATAGCTCTACTGACCTTTTAGGGATATCGATACATACTGTCAGTAATGTGAAGCTTGCCAGTCAAAGTTAATGGCAGTACCAGACAAACTGGCCCCCCTGCAGACTAGGCTGATCACCCATTCCAGAGTGTGACTGCAGTAATCACTGAGCTCCCAATTACATGATCAAGGCAGATGTTTTGGGTGTACAGGACTATTTTGCAAATCCATACCCTGTAACAGATTTCAGAACATTCACTGTTGCTCATTTTATCTTTGAGAAAAATGTTACTGAGCATGGTGCACCAGAGAACAACCACACCGGTCATGAGTGCTAGTTTGATGCTGATTTGATCAAAGAGATCTGGGGCAAGCCTGATCTTAAAAAGACCAGAACATCCCCAGGTCATGCAGAAGGAGATGGGTTAATCCAGAGGTCTTCAATCTTATCGAAGGGCCAACTAGGTAGGAGTCACATCTGTTTCCACTTGTTTAATCAGTTCATGGGCTCCAATCAACTATCGAGTGTGCCTTCTATTTAGTTGGAATGAAAGCCTGCAACCGCACCGGCCCTTTGTGAACAAGATTGTAGACCCCTATGTTAATCTACTGATTTAATTGTACTCTAAAGCACAGGTTTCCAAACTTGGCCCTGGAGTATCTACTGTCCTGAACATTTTATTGTTTTCCCAGCTCCTGACACACCTGATGCAACTACTCATCTAATTAACAGCCGTTCCTGAGTTGAAATTGGTGTGTTAGAGCAGGGAAAGCACTAAAATGTGCAGAACAGGGGGTAGTCCAGGACCAGGGTTGAGAACCGTTGCGCTAAAGGACCAATTGGCTAAATGTCTATTTAAGCAAACTGAGTCAGGGAGCTCTGCAAAACTGTCGTACTGTACATGTCTCCATGCCTGTATTAGTGCTCGTTTTTTTCTAGTGCATGGTCATGAGGCAAGGTTACGTGTCCTAAACTTAAATCTCCTCACCCTGTGAGTCATCTTGTGCCTCCCACACAGCAGAGTTTGCTACGTGGCTCTGCAGGAAGCAGCAGCTGTCTTACCAGTCCAGCCAAGAGCAGTGCCAGCTTCCAACAAAAGACACAGTGTGATAAAATGGTGAACTGTTTACCCTATCAAGAGAACTGGTCTGATTGAACAAAACAGCACCTTCTAGGTGTAAAATTGCACCTTGCTAGAATGCACCTACTTTTCCATTTAGATGATAAAACTGGCAGGACATCAGTGAGAATGGCTTACCTGGCACATTCACACAGGATGTCCATAGTAATAGTCTGGAAATATATCTCTGATCAAAGTTTGAACATGATCAAGATGTTGTGCATATCCTCTGTTATTGAAAGGAATCTTTAGCTGGAACCTATCCCAGGAAAACTGGGCATTAGGCAGGAATACACCCTGGGTGGGACACCAGTCCATCACAGGGCTCTATGGACACACACTTTCACATACTCATTTACACCTAGAGGCAATTTATCTTAACCAATCCACCTACTGGCATGTTGAGGTAGGAGGAAACCAGAGATCCTGGAGGAAAGCCATTGCAACAAAGCAGCTTTACAGAAATCTGGATGTAGATTAGTTAATGAGCAAGACAAATGCAACAGTGGCAAGGAAAAACTCCTTGAGAAGCCATAAGGAAGAAACCTTGAGAAGAACCAGACTTAAAAGAGAAACATTGCTCTTCTGGGTGACACCAGATAGTGGGACTATAAATCATTACTCTTGTGCACAACTGTACACAACACTCTCTCTCTCTCTCTCTCTCTCTCTCTCTCTCTCTGCTGTCACTGTCCTTCATCACTGTCCAAACACAGTAAACACAGGTAAATACAAACACACACAAAAGAGGATGTCTCCATCATCGTTTCTGTTTCAGCCACACCATAACCATGTCTCACTTCCTGAGGCAACAAAAGCGCTTGATGTCAAAGCTGTTGGTTTCAACCGTTTGTATATTCGTGACTTCATTTTAGGGAGGAATGTGTGCATGTCTGTGTCTGCTGTTTCTTTTCAATTTACTTGCTAACAGGAACCTAATTCTGTCCGGAACCAGTGTGCTTGTGTTTTATGCCTGAAAGCGAACAGCTATTGTTTGTGTGTGTGTGTGTGTGTGTGTGTGTGTGTGTGTGTGTGTGTGTGTATGTGTGTGTGTGTGTGTTTTAGGCAGGGGGTCTCAGGATTAAGTTTTGTTTACCAGAGCACTAATTCCTTGTTAGTGGTAGAGCTAGTCAGCGGGGCTCCTCTCTCTCACTCTCTCATACATTTTCCACTTCTTCCCCCTCTCTTGCTCATTCTGTTTCTTTTTGTCTCATTTACCTTGGTTACAGGATGTTATTTCTGTTCTCCTATATTTGATCCAAAATGCAGCTGCTAACACCCTAAGCTAATAAGTTCCAAAAAAACCATAGCAGCAGTAAGATTATATCTTCCTACCTAATGTATTGCATAGATATCTTTTTATTTAACTATTACTCGATTTAATTCTATTGAATAATTTCTATCTAATTTATAATGTGACTTCAGCACTGATATGTTTAATTTTATGAAAAGTAGGGAGGAAAATTTTTTATGACGATTAATTTGATGAATCTTTTTAATAGATTGGTCACAAATACAACGAAGCCATCATCACTGCAATACAAATTTCTTGTATCATCCAGCAGGAAAAACAGAAGTACATGACTAGGCTTGAAATGGACCGACAGAGGCTAACAAATAAATAGTGCAGTCCCCCGTACGTGTCTCATTAACTGCAGCCGCAAAAAAGTGCCCTACCTGAATATCCTGAAACATGTCCTTTCATCATTTGCTGAGATAAATTCTCACTCTGTTCAAATCAAACAACTTATCCTGATTAGTGTGATAGATTATGCTGTTCAAAGAATGCTGTTAAATGCAGCCATGAGTGTATTTGCATGTGTTGTAGGCTGATTGGCATCTCTAAGTTGTCCATAGTGAGTGTGTGTGCAGTTGTGCCCTGTGATGGGTTGGCACCCTGTCCAGGGTGTGCCCTGAGACCCCTGAGATAGGCTCCAGGCTACCCCGTGAAGGATTACAGAAAATGGATGGATAGATCTGTATAGGGGTTATTTTGCTGTATCACACTTAAATAATCAAAATATGGCACAGTTCATTTGGTGAGCAAAATTCACTTTGACATTTTAAAGGTGATATCAGTGATCTTCCTGAAATATGTAATATTTATGATATTTATATTTATATATTAATAAGAAGTAATTCCTTCTTCTAGTATAACATAGACTAATCATTGACACAATGCATGAATGAAGCCAACTAATGAAGTAAAATCTTGGTGTAGAAAAGGATTTTATAGTTATTGGGCTTGATCATCTCTCTTTCGTTTGGACTCAGTCCTGACTTGGCCTCCATCCCTTTAAAACTTGGCTCAATCTCAGCTAGTCCTGGTCTTGGACTTGCTAATGTTGGTCTTGACTACAGTCCTAGTTGCACAATTTGTGGCCACAACACAATAATTTACAGCTATGAGATACTTAGTTTGTGGCTTCAAAGTATTAATTTATCCTGAGTGGCACAACAGAAAAGTGTTTGCCCTGGTATCTAGAGATTGCAAGTTTGAATCCTGCTGATGCCACAACCATCTGCAGCCGAGAGTCCAAGAGAGCAAAACTGGCTGTGCTCTCAGGAAGGGG